TGAAGGCAAGATTTAAGAATTTGGTGGGGAAGATTGGCAAACATTTTCTGTAAAGGACCAAAGAGTGAATATTTGAGGTTTTACTGGCCATATGGTCTCTGTTGCAGCTATGCAACTCTGCTGTTACAGTGTGAAAACAGCCCCAGACAATGTATATACAAATGAATTGTAGTTGTGTTTCAATAAAGCTTTATTTATAAAAGGTGGTGGGCCAGATTTGGCCTACTCCTGATCTAGTTCCCTAAGATGGTCCTAAAGTCAAGTCCTGTAGTTGGGGAGGAGGGGAAGGGTAACAGGAGCTGTTGTCACTCGGGAATATTTCTTCTGAGACACAGATTCTTCTAGATCTGTTTTGAAAATACCCACATCATTTGTTTTTAATTGTCTTGTATTCCATAGGAGGACTACACCCTGTTTCTGTACCCACTTCTCTAAGGCTGGATAACTATGTTGTATCTAATCAGTGGGGTTTGTATAAAAATTGTTTGGCCACAAGGATCTTGGCATGTCAACCCCTGTGTTCTTCCCAATCCAGGGCTAGGGGCAAGGTGAAGCATTGTCGCATCAACCGGGACGGCCGGCACTTTGTGCTGGGAACCTCCGCCTATTTTGAGAGCCTGGTGGAGCTTGTCAGTTACTATGAGAAGCATTCACTCTACCGAAAGATGAGACTGCGCTACCCCGTGACGCCCGAGCTCCTGGAGCGCTACAATATGGTAGGTGGTTGACTCCCTTGTGATTCGGTGGGATTTCTTGTCTGAGGTTGTAGCTCATATGTTCCTAAATTCAGCAAACCTCTGAGTATTCACCATGTGTCTAATACTGCTTTAGGTCCTGGGGATACAAACTGAACACAACAGAAAAAGACCCTGCCCTTGTGCTGCTTACAGTGTAGTGCTGGGGAGATGCAACAAATGAGGTTTAAAATATCCATAGTGTGTGTCAGATGATGATGAGAGCTAAGGAGAAAAACACCAGGCAGGTGGATAAAGGGATACAGAGTGATGGGGAAGGGACTGCAGTTTTCAGATGGTGGTCTAGGAAGATGTCACTGAGAAGGAGTGAGCTATGTGGGTAACTTCTGGAGGAAGAGAGGATAGCATGTGCAAAGGTCCTGAGGTAGGAGCCTGCCTGGAGGCACCAAGAAGCAGCCAGCGCGGCTGGAATTGAGCAAGCCTAGGCGGAGGTAGAGCTAGATGAAAATGGGGGTTCACAGGGGACTGGATCAGGCAGGGCTCAGAGGCCAGTATAAGGCCCTGGCTTTTTCTCTGAGTTATTGGACAGTTCTGGGTGCAGAAGAGACCTGATGTGATTACTGTGTCTCCATTCCTACCATGCAGATCATTAATTTATTGAAAAGAGATTTATGTTATCCTGACCATGTGCCAAGAACCGTTCTAGATACTGGGAGTACTGTGGAACAAAATCTGCTTTTGGGAAATGTAGGTTCTGGAGAGGAGAGACAGATAATATACATAATGAAGATGTTTTCAGGTAGCATGAAGTACAATAAAGCAAAGAAAACAGGATGGTGTGAAAAGGGGTGGGAACTGCCTTAGACTGTGGGGTGGTGATCGGAGGCCACCTTAAAAGGGGAGAAATGTGGGCTGAAACATGGAAGACAGTGGTGAATGAACTTGGGGGAGAAGTGAAGGAAGGGGTGGCTCTGGTAGAGAAGTGGCCACACCACAAGCCCTAAGGTGACATGAGGAACAGAAAGAAGAGTCAGGAACAGAGAGGTGCTGGGGGTGGCTCTTGGCAGTGGTGTGATAGTAAATGTTTAAACAACTCTGAGGGGGAAAGCAGTGGTTTGTAGCATTTGCCAGTTTCCATGGTGTAAATACTTACATGGTGGTTAGTCTCAAGTTGCTGATGTGCTGTCATCAAACCTTAAATGTGGAGTCAGGGAGCGATGTATGCAGCGGGCTTTCGTGAGCTGGGAGCTCACTCCAGCACACCACTGGATCTTAGGTTTTGTGTTTTTGCAAGGGAACATGGTGCCTGGCACACAGCAGGCCAGGCCAGGGCCTCTCTGATTTTGGGTTAGTTTCCAAGTCTGGAGACCTTCTCTGTAGCTTTTTCCTGTGTCTACTCATGGGCCACCAGAAAATTCTATGACATTTCAACTCTTCTATCAAAAGATAGGTAACCATAAGGAAGCCTAGAACCTTTGTAATATGTAAGGGCTATTACATATTACATATACATAAAAGGAGCATGGATTATTCCATTTCTTTCTTTCTTTCTTTTTCCAGGAAAGAGATATAAACTCCCTCTATGACGTCAGCAGAATGTATGTGGATCCCAGTGAAATCAATCCGTCCATGGTACAGTGCTGAACCTCCAGCTCACGTGATTTCTGAGTCACTAGGCTGATGTGGATTCCATCTTATTCTCCTGGCAGTTATCACGGGGCAAGGGAAGATTCTGGAAAACCTGGCCAAAATAATTTTTTTATTTTTGAGAAGAAACGATGATTGACAGTATGAAGCCTAGTTTCAGGGAAAAGGTTAATAGGGTTCCATCCAAATGCGGCAGTGTTTTGCTAAAATGCTGAGGTTTGATGAACCACCTCTGGGCCAACATGGCTTCTAATTTAAAGTCTTTCAAATGTTTCTTGCTCACTGATGGAGCCCGTGGTGTTTATAAATTCTCTTTGGTTCTCTGACCTCCTTGCAGTGCAAATAGTGCAAACGCTATCTCATATTCCCACCCCAACTCTGTCGTGTAATTTCATGCAGGTAGGGATGGATTTTACTTTGAGCCCTCGGCTTCTCCTTGCCGTGGTTTCATCTCAGATTTAGTTTGAACCGGCAGAGGAAGAGCGGCGGTAAATTTTCTGTTTGGGGGCCATGTGGCACACGATTAGTGTACAGCGCTCGCTTAGGAAGGGGCCCTGCTTGTGGGCTCTGTTGAAATCCAGAGATGACTGTTTTTTAAAAATGTATAATGCTTGGCCAATGTAGATCTCTTTCAGAAAGAAATGAAATCTTGAAAAGCTGTAGGCAAATTCAGCTGTATATGAAATGCATTAAGAGACCTTAGCAGCAAAAATTTTGTTAGAAGTGAAGGATGTTAGGAGGCTGAGGCAGGAGAATTGCCTGAACCCAGGAGGCGGAGGTTGCGGTGAGCCGAGATCGCGCCATTGCACTCCAGCCTGGGTAACAAGAGCGAAACTCCGTCTCAAAAAAAAAAAAAAAAAAAAAGTGAAGGATGTTTTGGTGATGGGAATGGTCACCCCTTTAACTGATGACTGTTTGTTCCTGTGGCCTTGGAGTCTGCCTCTGGCCCTTACATCCACCCTTCAAGCAGGATATTAGGTAGAGGCTGCTCTGTCTACAGGAGAGAGAGAAAGGCAAGGGCTCTGCTTAGCCTCCAGCCTCCGGCCTCCAGCTACCGATCACTGTGGCAGAGCTTCTAGAACCCACATTGCTTCTTATGAAACGTCCTGAACTATGGCAATAACTCACATTGATAGATGCAGTTCTGGGCTCAGCTACTTAAAGCAGCTGGTTGATGTGGGGCAAGTTACTTTCCTTCTCCGCATCTCAGTTTTTTCATCATCTGTAAAATGGGGATAATCATGTAACTACCTACCTGTTATGGCCGTTGTAGGGATAAAAGGAGATACCCTGAGGCTCGGAACAATGCTTTGACCTACACTATAGTTAGCACTTAAGAATCGCAAGCTCCTGTCAGTTATATCGTTATACACACGATCTCATTTGATAGTTTAACAATCCTGTGAAATATAAAAAAATTTCCTTCCCATTTCACAGATGGGGAAGCTGAGGATCAGAGAGTCTCAAACTTATATAACCATTCCAGGGCAGAGCAATGGTTTGAACCTATGTGTCTGACTTTGTAGCCTGTGTTCTGAGGAGCAGTTTTACTGGATTCCCTGTGAAATTCCTGTTCCCATTTCCATTGGGTGGCAGAAGAAGGAAGCTGCTGATCTAAACTGGTTTGACAGCGTCAGAGGCTTTCCCACGAATATTTGCTTGCCACCTGGGTGTTCATTTATGCCTGCCAGGCAGAAGGCATGAAAGCAAATTCACTGAATAAAATTTCTATACCGAGGAAGTTCTTATTTAGTTATGACAACAGAGACCACCTTTTGATGAATTTCATAGAGGAGAGCCTGAGTTATTCTTGCAAAATGTCAGCGGTCTGCAAGAGTATAAGTAGGGGACCGCTGACCTACATAAAAAGAGCAGTGAGGCCCTCAGGACAGGTGGGAAGAATGGGGTTGCCCTTGAACTTCTGGGAGGTTTGATGAGCACAGGCACTGTGATGAAGGTTTTGGCTTAATCTAAAAGGCATTTCCTTTCTTTGTTGAAGAAATTGAGGAATATTGGGTCACTGGAATACAGGGCCACTCGCACCTTAACCCTAAGCCTAACCCTAACCCCATCCCCATCCCTAACCTATAACCCTAACCCTAACCTTAAACCCTAACCCCATCCCCATCCCTAAACTATAACCCTAACCCTAACGCTGACTCCTAACCCCTGTGCCAAAACCCTAAACCCTAACCCTAACTCCATCCCCATCCCTAAACTATAACCCTAACCCTAACCCTAACCCTAACCCTAAACCCTGACTCCTAACCCCTGTGCCAAAACCCTAAACCCTAACCCTTAGCCCCTAACCCTAGCCCTAACCCTAGCCCAGATACCCTTAGCTCTGACCAGGCCAGACTTCCTTCACTCCCTGGTGACTTTTTGGGGCCTTGGATCCTTTGCAATGTCAGTCCCTCTCCAGCAGATGACTTTGTAATCTTGACCTGAAGCCTTCTGCTCCCAGTGAGAAGAACTGAATGATGGCTGGAATGTAGCTGCCTCCCTCTCCTCCTGTCCCTGGCCTGACTTTTTGCTTCTTGTTTTCCCTGAAAGCCTCAGAGAACTGTGAAAGCTCTGTATGACTACAAAGCCAAGCGAAGCGATGAGCTGAGCTTCTGCCGTGGCGCCCTCATCCACAATGTCTCCAAGGAGCCTGGGGGCTGGTAAGGCTGGGCAGAGGCTGGGCTGCTTGGCGGGTGGGCTTGACTTGTCCCTTCTTGGTGATGAGACTCAGGTGCTGGCCGAGTCTGACCCCTCCGCTTTGTCTGTCATTCTGGGCTGGCTTTGACCTCTTGTGTTACGTCCCTTTTTAGGAAGGCGGCTTCGTGCTTGCTCTATTTGAGAAAATGGATAAACAACAATATTAACAGTTATCAGCATATCGTATCATATATGGTATATTATTATAATTACAACAGCAGCTACCGTTATTGATGTCTTGCTAGGTGGCAAGCAGTCTGCTAATTGCTTTCAACCAAATCTTCATTACTCCCTGTGGTGAGGACTATGATTATTCCCACTTTAAAGATGAGGTGAATGAGACTTTCCGAGTCACACAGCTACTAAAGGGCGCAGGCTATTTTCGATACACAAGACGGTGTGTTGTTTCCAGTTCAAATTCTCATGCTATTGCGTAGTCCGGTGCTGTATGCAATGGCCACATCCTGAATTGAAGACAATACGTTTTTAGAGCAAAGGTACCTGGGTGTGCTAGGGTTTAGTTACCACTTCCCTTTTTCACCTTGGAAGAAAAATTCACTGCCTACTGACAGGTTTCTGGGTCAGTGGTTTTGTGGGGTGACTTCTGAGGACAGTCAGAACTTGCTCGTAATAGTGAGCACTGGTTTAAGCACCTCGTAGGTGGACATTTCCACCTTTCACAAGATACCTAGACCTGACTTAGAAATCTGAATGGCAGCTTACAGGGAGTGCTTCTGTGTGTCAAGCTCCATTTTAAGCACTTCGTTTGAAATAACGCACTGAACCCACAGGACGACCGTAAAAGGTTGGTTCTGTTGTTACCTGCGTTTTACAGATGAGGAAACTGAAGCCCTGAAAAGTGCAGCCACTTGTCCAGGGCCACACAGGCTGAGATTTGAACCCCCAGGCCTTCTGGATCCAAAGCCTACACTCGTAACCTCATTCATCTGCTAAGTCCTTCCCTGTCCTCTTGCAAGATGCCTTAATCCAGGGATTGTCAAAGTTCTTCTAAAAATCTGGAGAACCTCATTGCAAACCAATTTATATGTAGATTCCCCAGAATCAAAGAAGCAGCCAAGTCTACTGCAGCCCCTGATGCTTCCCCTTGGAGGCTCCCAGACCCAGTTCGGCAACTATGGTGTCCATCAGCTTCTCCCAGTTCCGATGCTTGGCTTTGCCGAGGTCCCTCCCCTGGAAGTGGCACAGACAGAGTTGAGGTCTCTTCCAGGGACACTGGCACTCCCTCACTGTGCTCCTGTCCCTGCCTTGGCCAATGTCTTGGTGGTGCTCACTGGGTGGGTGACTAACATTTTTGGAGTTGTGGATGGAGCCCAGATGACTGCTCCAAATCACAGTTTTCCATTCTGTGTGAGACTGCTGCATGTCTTTCCATGCCTCTGATAGGCAGTTCTCCAAATTTCCAAGGCTCTTATCTTGACATGAGTTAAGAGGAGTTCTTTGGCAAGGGACTGTGGGCAAACTGTCCTGTGGCCATGGTCATTTCTTTCTCTCTCTGATGGCAGAAGTGCTACTGAGAGGGCTGCCTGTGTAAAACGGCCTTTTTTTTTTTTTTTTTTTCTTTGAGACAAAGTCTCCCTCTATCGCCCAGGCTGGAGTGCAGTGGTGCATTCTCAGCTCACTGCAATCTCTGCCTCCCTGGTTCAAGCGATACTCCTGTCTTAGCCTTCTGAGTAGCTAGGATTACAGGCAAGTGCCAACACCCCCAGCTAATTTTTGTATTTTTTTGCAGAGATGGGGTTTCACCATGTTGGCCAGGCTGGTCTCGAACTCCTGACCTCATGATCCGCCCACCTCGTCCTCCCTAAGTGCTGGGATTACAGGCGTGACCCACCATGCCCAGCCTGAAATGGCTTTTTTTTTTTTTTTTTTGCATACTCCCAAACTGGTTCCCCTGTAGCTAGGGGACCACACAACTTTTGTCTGAACCAGGATGCTCTGGAGTGTCAAAGGAATGTAAACTGCTCAGTCCTGGATGGATGATACATATGATCACCCTCAATATAGACAGCCTTTGCCAGAAGTGGATCTAGAGTAATGGTGTGGAAGGCATGAAAAGGGCTTACAACCTGCAGTCCTGTGTCTCTGCTATGTGAACTGGTAGCATGAGTCCTCACTCTGCTTATTCAAACCAAAAATATTAAATTTCTTCTTACCACCATGAAGCACAGACTTGATTAAGGTCCAGAAAGGTCAGCCAGGTGTGGTGGCTCCCACCTGTAACCCCAGTACCTTGGGAGGCCAATGCAGGCGGATCACTTGAGGTCAGGAGTTTGAGACCAACCTTGCCAACATGGTGAAACCCTGTCTCTACCAAAAACACAAATGTTAGCCAGACGTGGTGATGCATGCCTGTAATCCCAGCTACTGGAGGCTGAGGCAGGAGAATTGCTTGAACCCAGGAGGTGGAGGTTGCAGTGAGCCAAGATCACACCATGCACTCCAGCCTGGGGGATAGAATGAGACTCGGTCTAAAAAGAAAAATAAAAATCCAGAAAGATCTCATATAGTGGGGAAGACAGATGTATAATTACACAATAAGTATAAGGTGTGGCTGTTGGATGACTGTGGGGACAGGATGCCAGGGGACCACAGAGGAAGAGTGCTCAACCTAGGTGGCAGTCAGGGAAGACTTCCTGGAAGAGGAAATGCCCAAACTGAGTCTTAAATTAGTAGAGGGAAGCTGGCTACCAAGGGTGTGGACTAAGACATGGAAGCTAGCTAACATGGAAGGGGCATGATGGGGACAATGGGTCATCTGGAATCAATGTCATGGAGAGTTAAGAGGTGAGGTCTGGGAGTCCTGGGGTCAGACTGTGCTGGGCTGTGGTTGCCATGCTGAAGAGTCTGGGCTGGATTCTAGAGGTCTTGGGGAGCCATCACGTGGTGTGGTCAGAGGTGCATTTTGGAGAGTCTGTGGCTGCAAAGTGGCTCTTGAGATGCGCAGGTCGAAGAAGGAGGTTTGCGTGTCTGGGCATGGACTTGCGTGGAGGAATCTTAGAGGTGCTCACCTTCTGGTAGGCTCCGGGGACATTCACAGATGGATTATGTCAAGTGTTGTTAGTGCTGTTATAAAGATAGGGAACAGTGTTTTAGCTGAATAATAATAACAGCTAACACTATTGAGTACTTACTGTGTGCTAGGTAGCTGCTGTCCCAAGCACTCAGCTTATGTTAATTTAGAGAGACCTAACAAAAGCTTCTGAGGGAAGTACTTGTGTTTGACCATTTTGTGGAGAGTCGGAGGCACAGAAAGCCTCCACAGTCCGTGGTAGGGTTAGAATTTAACCTCAGGCTACCTGGCTCTAGAGCCACCTTTTCTCAAAATTATTCCCTGAAATGGGGTTGAGCTTTTGTCTCGTATGGTCTCTGACTTCCACTTAAAGCACTGAAACTTTTGACTTGTGGTATCTTTGGTCAAACATTAAGATCATGTGATGAGGAGGAAAATCAGCCCCCTGTAACTCATTGGTAATTAAAAAAATAAAAAGAAGCTGCCAGGGAGTTGCTGCGTTGTCAGATAGTGACACTGGTCACTCGGCCACTTGCTACCTGTCCCCATCAGAATTGAGCCAGCAGCTGGGAGCTAATGAACAGTATTGGGTAATTCATGCCACCTGGTGACAGCTCCCCCATGTCCCCTCTTCTTATCCAGGTGGAAAGGTGACTATGGAACCAGGATCCAGCAGTACTTCCCATCCAACTATGTGGAGGACATCTCAACTGCAGATGTCGAGGAGCTGGAAAAGCAGGTGCGTCCCCCTCTTCAATGATCTTACAGGAAGCAGGGATCTGCAGGTCCAGTGTTTCAGGGACCTGTGCCATCTCAGTGGGTGAATTTTTCCACGTGCTGCTAGTGGTCTCAGTGGAGCTCTGGATCAGGGAAGACAGAGTGATAGGGAAATTGAGATGTTGCAGGGGAGTCTCTGTGACAAGCCAGTCATATTTTAATCAGGTTGTGCTGGGCCTGGAAGGCTTTGAATATGCAGGAGAATTCCCACTGGAGTGAAAGTGGCCAAATGGGGAATTTGTCCCCTGCTTAAGCAACTTGCAAATGAATCACATTTATGTTGGACAGCCAGCACGTTGAGAACGTGCTTGGGGTGAGTAAGCAAGTGGGCCTAACCAGAAGGTGAGATGAGCCCTTCCTGGTGACTTTGCAAACCTGGTGGTTGTTCCCTCGCTGCCTCTTGTTAGGGACCAGTGACTTTGAGTGTACCGGCACTGCACCAAGGGTGACATCTTTGTAATGAGGACTTTAAGATCCCATTAGAGGCCCAGGGATTTATTTATAAGGGAGGTAGGGCAATCTGGGAAGGCTTCCTGGAAGAAGGAGTATTTGAGCCTTAAAAGTCAAGTTAGAGTTCAACAGCAAGAGACTGGCAGAAGGGAGTTCCAAGTGGGAAGTAGAGTCTGGGTAATGGTGTGGTGATGGGAATGGGGTTGTGTTCTGTGTGCTTGGGCTGAGGCAGAGACATGAAGCCCTTGCTGCATCTGTAGTGCACTGCCCTTACCTGTACATCAGCATTTGCCTGGTGCAGGGGATGGGGGTCGGAGTAGTGCAGGCAATGAGTGGATGCCTGGTTCTGCCACCTCTCCTGAGACCAGGATACTCATCATCTCAGCTAGACCCTGGGATGGTGCGAGTGTGCAATAGGGGGCAGAGCTGGCAAGGGCGATGGGGGCTCAGAAATCCTTAAAAGCCAGATCATGGAGCACGGGTGTCGCCTCCACAGGACATGGGGAGCCACAGAAGGTTCCTGAGCTGGGCTTTAGTAGGCTAAATAGTCTCATTTTGTAACAAGGTCTAGGGTGTGTTTGGAAACACGGTGAAACCTGTTGTAGGATTCACAGGGCACGTTTTTACCGATTGGAAAATGAAACTCGGAACCTCCCGGCACCCACTCCCCGTGAGGTCCCTATCAGCTCCGTGCTTCATTATTTAGCTTTCTCCCCGTGGACGTATCCGGTAATGAAAATGCATTTTAAACAGTTCCACAGGCGGTGTCTCTGCTAAACGGTGTGCTTTGGAAACGGGTTGTCTTTTTATTATTCCCGTTACAACTAACGTGAGTTATGTCTTGTTTCTTCATAGATTATTGAAGACAATCCCTTAGGGTCTCTTTGCAGAGGCATACTGGACCTCAATACCTATAACGTCGGTACGTGCACATATCATCTTAGCCTGGATTCCCACCCCAATCCCCCATGGCCTAACCGCAGCCCCGCCCCACACAGGGAGGTGGCTGACATGGGGTCCTGTCTTGCCTGTGACTTGAATGCCAGTTCCTTCCCTGGCTGAAGCTGAGTATTTAGGTCAGGCTGGTCAGTGAGTATGATGTGATGTCTGCTGTTCGTATCTGCTAAAAATAGAAGTGCTTAAACAGGGTCTGGTCCATACGTGCTAGATGGTGGTTAGCTGACATTACCAACATCACTCTTGTTATTTCAGGATCTGCCTGTGTTTCATGCATTTCGAAGGAATGCTGAGCTGTCGGCCTGGCTGAAATGCAGCATGGAGTTGGGAGTTTTGGGTTCTAAGCCCAGCTCTGCCTCTCCGCTGCTCTTTGAACCTCTGCTTCCCGGCTGCTCATCTGGGGCACAGGAAACGCAGCCCGCCCATGTTGACCGTGCCGCAAGTGGACATGGAGGCGTGGTCTGTCCTACGGTGGCCAGGGTCTGATGTGTGCCGGGCTTCCTGGGCCTTGAGCATGCCTGCTTTTAACAAGGGGCTCTGTAGCAAGCCTCCTTGTTCTGGGAAGCCCATGACTCTTCCCTGGGGAGGCATGGGCATGGTCCCCTAGGACTCAGGTGACACATTAATTTTATTTATTTATTTTTTTGAGAAAGTCTTGCTCTGTCTCCCGGGTTGGAATGCAGAGGCATGATCTTGGCTCATTGCAACTGCTACCTACTGGATTCAAGTGATTCTCCTGCCTTAGTCTCCCAGAGTAACGGGTTACAGGCATGCACCACCATGCCTGGAAAATTTTTGTATTTTTAATAGAGACAGGGTTTCGACATGTTGGCCAGGCTGGTCTTGAACTCCTGACCTCAAGTGATCTGCCTGCCTCAGCCTCCCCAAGTGCTGGGATTACAGGTGTGAGCCACCACACGCAGCCTACTTTCCACATTTATTACCTGCTTCTTTACCTTTACGACAATCCAGCAGAATAGGTAGGAGAGTGATTCTTTGCTCCCATTACCAGAAGAGAAAAATCAAGGTCCTAAGAGACCACCTCACGTGCTAAGGTCCTATGGGTCGGGGGATGCAGGATCCCTGCCTCCCCTTCTCATGCTCTTTGTATCTTCCCCTGCACCCCTGTATTTGCAGAGCAGAGGCACATGGCTCAGTGGTTCTGAGTAGGGATCTTGGAGTCAGGTTTGGACTGAGCCTGTTTTATTGCTACTAGCTGTGTGACCCTCCACATGTTACTTTCTCTTAATGAGCCTCAGTTTTTCCTTCTGTAAAATGGGCCTAGCCATAGCAGTGGGCCTGTAGTCCATCTACGCAGGAGGCTGAGGTGGAAGGATCACTTGAGAACCAAGAGTGTGAGACCAGCCTGGGTAATGTAGCAAGACCCCAAAATCTTAAAAAAAAAAAGATGCAGGAAAGGTAACCTGCTTAGAATATTGCCTGGTATATAAGAAATCAGAAATCTTAGCTACTAATATTATTTGTTAGGTAAGTTTCCCTCTCATAACCTTTTCTTCTCTGTAAGATACTTGCTCTGTGTCTAGAGAAGCCACACCACATTTCTGTCCTAGCTTCTGGTGACTGCTGGAAATCCTTGGTGTTTTTGGCCTGTGGCTGCATTCTTCAGTCATCACATTTGCCTGCACATGGCTTTCTCCCTTGTGTCAGCATCTGTTTTCAAAGCCGTTTACCCAGGTGTGGTGGCTCATGCCTGTAATCCCAGCACCTTGGGAGGCCAAGCTGAGTGGATCACTTGAGTTCAGGCATTTGAGACCAGCCTTGGGAAACCTGGTGAAACCCCTTACAAAGATTAGCCAGGCATGGTGGTGTGCACCTGTGGTTCCGGCTACTTGGGAGGCTAAGGTGGGAGGATCCCATGAGCTTGGAAGGCGGAGGCTGCAGTGAGCCAAGATTGCACCACTGTGTTTCAGCCTGGGTGACAGAATATGACCCTGTCGCAAAAAAAAAAAAAAAAAAAAAAGCCATTTAAATTATTCGTTGTATATAAATGATTTTTTTATATGTAACAATAGAAAATTATGTACAATATGCTAACTGAAACAATTATTTCATCAAATTTTATGTATTTGTATGGAAACATTTTGTAAAAATGCCAATTTGCTTAGCTATATTTTAAAATCTTTCTAAAATGAATGTGTACTGTTATAGCAATTTGTAGAAAATATGGTAAGGGCAAAAAGCATTTTCTAATTGGTCAAAGAGATATACAATGTTTGTTTTGATCAAGATGGACACGTATCTATAGAGTGGACAAGGGGGTATTTTTTTGGGTTCTCTAATGCATTTTATTTTATTTTCCTGCATCTTAAACATCCTTCTCCTTTCTCTTATAAGGATCCTCATCCTTGTTTGGATGTTGGGATTGCCCTAACTCCAGGATGATCTCATCTGAGATCCTTATAGTAACCTATAAGGTCCCATTCACAGGTACTAGTGACCGGACACAGCTTTGTGGAGGACACTAGTGAGCCCACTGCATCCCTGAGCAGTCATGTGTGTGACATGTACTTACCCGATGGAAAGTAGACGGCCCCATCAGTCCTAACCGTGATCATAGCAGTGGCGGTTCGGTTTGGTCCATGAGAGAAACGGCTCAGGCAGGGTGCGGTGTGGTCTTTGTGGCCCTCTCACAGGCTGATCGGGACATTTCCTATTCTCTCCCCTAAGTGAAAGCCGCACAGGGGAAAAACCAGAAGCCCTTTGTCTTTATCCTGGAGCCCAAGAAGCAGGGCGATCCTCCGGTGGAGTTTGCCACAGACAGGGTGGAGGAGCTGTTCGAGTGGTTTCAGAGCATCCGAGAGATCACCTGGAAGATTGACACCAAGGTAGGCACCTGCTCACCTGTGGGCAGGTGAAGGTGGGCCTGGCATTCTCAGGGATCTGGTTCTCATGGAGGCTGTAGGTGGGCCCAGGCAGCAGGATGAGCAGGCCCAGGTGCTACTCAGAATTGGGGAAGGAGACCAGGTGGGTTCAGACAATAAGAGCACCCCTTGTTAAGGAGAGGCAGGGATAGTGGAGGTGCCCTGGGAAGGCAGGTCTGGTTGTCTGGTTGGAGCCTTCAGAAGGCTGAGTGCATGCAGTTATGCTCAATGATGGTGTCCATACAGCCCTACGTATCTTACTAAGGAAGTTACTGCCTTCCTCATTTTGAATATTTTGTTTCTAAGTATCATACAAAGCAGTCTGGATCCTCCCCAAAGAAAAGGTTCACTGAGCTCACTGCCTGGACCCGGAATGGGCCCTGGGAACACAGGAAATCAGCGAGACCTGGTTCTTTCCGGTGGAGGAACTTTCCCTCTAGATGGCAATGACCTTTTCAGGTCTGTCCTACCTGAAGCACTAGTCTCTGGCTAGAAGTGTTTTGGGAAGGTGAGAGCTTCTGGATAAGAACAGGAGGTCTGGAACTGGGCAGATCGGAGTTTGCACTCCAGCAGGGCTGGATCTCTGGGCCTCAGTTTCCTTGTCTGCAAAATGAGGACCCAAATTCCTAACTCAAAAGTACTTGATCACTGCCTTGTCATTATACTGGTGACATGGGAAAGTGCCACCCTGTCTTGGATGATGAAGCATGTGCTGTCTGCTGCTGTGGCTGCAGAACTAGAAAGAAATCACAGGGTTTCCCAAGGACCCATTTGCTTCTAAGGTAGAACTTGACCCAAAGGGCTGATTAAAGCCTTCCTGGGCTCTCCTGCGGCCTCTGACCTCTTGCTAGAGTCAGTGAGTTTCTTCTCCAAGATACTTAGTCACGCACTGGTGGCCAGGTCATTTTTCCCTTGGGAGGGCCTCACATCTTGGCTAATCTCTGGTTACTTGACTATTGCACAGGGAAGTGTCCTCTTGAGGAGACTTTGCAGAGGGGGGCGGTCACTGGGCACCCTCGCTGGTGAGGCGTCATCTTCCCCTGACCCAGGAGCTCCTGGGGCCTTCCCTAGGGCTCCTAATTCTTCCTGCGGCTTTTCACACCACCAGCCATGGGGGTGAACCACAAGCTTGGAGCCAGCTGCGCTGTCTGTTCAGCTTTCCCAATGAAGCCATCTCTTCTGCCCTGAGTGCCTCTGATGCAGTACAGCTCTGAGACACAGGGGGGTGCCACACCCTGAGGTTTATTTGAAAAATCTCCAAATAGTGCATTCTGGCTTTCTCTACTTCACTTAATGGAGAAAATTTCTCTATTCCCTATTTCCCTAGAAGGCTCTGTCTCTCCCCTCCCTCGCACCTCCTCTGCTGCTACATGAAGGTTTCTGAGATGAAGCTGAGCTGTTCAAGGCTGCCGTTGGTGGCCTTCGGTCTACATTCCTCCCTCATTGGTTTTCATATTTGCTACGATTTCATGAGAATGATTTTTAAAGTCCCATTATTACATCTGAGGGTTAAAAAAAAACGGGTCAGCAGAGTTGATGGAGTTCCCACACTGGGCAGAGACACCCCGTTTAGGGAGAGGGTGTTGGGGGGCAAAGGAAGAAGTTTCCCATCCCTCTCTCGGGGAACCAGTGGTGGGTAAACTCTCTGCTCACTGCCAGGGCCTCTGCTTCTCCCTAAGTGCTGATACTGTTACACATCTATAGCCACTTCCAGTTGATGGCAGAGAACAGTCACAAAATCCTTCTAGTTGGTGGGTTTCCAGAGACTCTGAGATGGCCTGGGGGGTGACTGCTGCAGGCTGGGAGAGTAATTGTCATGTATTTTTTTTTTTTTTTTTTTGAGACAGAGTCTCACTCTGTTACCCAGGCTGGAGTGTAGTGATGGGATCCCAGTTCACTGCAGCCTGCACCTCTTGGGTTCAGTGATTCTCCTGCCTAAGCTGACCAGGTAGCTGGGATTACAGGTGTCCACCACCATGCTCGGCTAATTTTTGTATTTTTAGTAGACATGGAGATTCACCATGTTGCCCAGGCTGGTCTTAAACTCCTGACCTCAAGTGATCCACTTGCCTCAGCCTCCCAAAATGCTAAGCTTGCAGGCGTGAGCCACTGCACCGGCCATTCTGAAGCAGCAGCTGGTGTTTCTTCTTGAACCAGTATTGTCTTCTGCTGAGGTCGGGGGAAAAACGTGAAGCCCCATACCTTGGCATAGCTCTGTGTTTTGTGTGAGGCCAATATTCCAGAAGTCAACAGATGCATGCCCCACTTCCTCATTTTAAGCAATTCTGTTGTCATTAGAGGTAAGCTGTGTTGTTTTTGGGGTCTTCTGTCCCCAGACAGCCCCCTGGTGAAAACTGTGCACTAAGAGTACAAAGTTAAGTTGGTACAAGGACCGGGAGAAAACCCCGAGGTTTTGAAGGAAACATGGCTTTGGTTTCTGCGACAGCACTTTGCCACTGACTGTTTGGCTGATGCCTTCTTTACCTCTTGGTTGATGCTCTTCCTGCCCACCAGAGCCCTTCCAGCCTGACCCCTAGGGCTTGTTATGTCCCCAAGGACATTCAGGAAGGATGGAAAGAGCTGACAAAAGCTGGGTGTGTGTGGCCAAGTGAGAACCAATACTGGGGGCTTAGAGTCACACTTGAAGCTGTACTGGTGATGTGGTCACAGCAAGAGCTCACGTAAAAGGCTTGTTGGTCATTGCCAAGGTTCACTTTGATCCTAGGACTTGTGTCAGCACTTGTGGGTGAAGGTGTTCTTACAGAAGAAATTGGGAGCCTTCACCTGGTGGTTTACAAAACAGGACTTTCTAGTTCTTTGCCAAGGGGGAGGTGTCTCCCGGGGGAATATGAATAGCCACATGTGCCCATAGAGTGCTAAGGCCTCCTTGTTTAATTTTTGCAATAGCCCTGTGAGGTGAGGCTTCACATTGGCCTAATTTTACAGTTGAGGAAACTGAGGCACAGTGAGACTGTATGTCTCGTCCAGCCGGCACAGCCCAAGAACAACCAGGCCAGGTTTCAAACTTGTGTTTCAGTTCCCTCTGTCTTCACTACTGTGTCATGTTGCCTCTGTCACCCAGTGACCACCATCACCTGAACACTTGCTGTGCACACAGCTCTGCCATCAAGGGCATATCTCAGTGGGGAACTAAGGTCTGCAGGCCTGGCACTGAATGGCATTAACAGACAGTCAGGCAAGGGATGGCGGGAAGCCGAGCATACCAGCTGAGGCAGTGAGTGATTTGCAAGGTTCCAGGAGGGCAACATCTCTTCCCAGTACTGGTGGGAGCTAATCCACAAACACTTCTCTATTAGTTCATTTTCACACTGCTATAAAGACATTACCCTAGATAGATAATTTATTTTTAAAAAAGGAGGAGGTTTAATTGACTCATAGTTCCACATGGCTGGGGAGACCTCAGGAAACTTACAATTACAGGGGAAGCAGGCATGTATTACATAGTGGCAGGAGAGAGAGAGAGAGCAAGCAAAAGCAGGGAAGACTGCCTTATAAAACCATCAGATCTTGAGAACAGTATGGGGGAAACCGAGCCCATGATATAATCACCTCCCACCAGGTCTCTCCCTCAACATCTCGGGATTACAATTCAAGGTGAGAGATTTGAGTGGGGACAGAAAGCCTAAACACATCAGCTTCCCAGAGAAGGAATGATTTGGGCTGGGTCCAGAAGGGTGGGGGTATGTGGGCAGCAGGATAAGGAGTCAGGAGGGCATTGCTGTGGTCCAGTGGGACCTGGGATGTGAACTCTGGATCTGGATGTGGGAGGCATTTTAGTGAGATCTTCTCCAGAACCTGGCAGCTGACAGGGTGTGAGGGACAAAGTAGAACTGGAACATGGGGTGGGTGGGGCAGGAGCCCACCCCATATGAACAGGGCTTTGGAAGCATCTGGTCTTGACATCAGTTGGCTGGGCAGCCTGAGATAAGCTACTCAACTTCTCTGTTAAATGGAGATAATCCTACCTGTCTTGAGATGTGTGGACTGACTTAGGTAATATCTATCAAATGCTTAGCCTGCGATGCCTAGCGCTAAGCACCCCCCAAATAGTGACCACTATTATCTAAATATTCTCTCAAGGTTCCCCTTGGCCAATAAAAGTCTGATAGAATTTGGGGAGGCCCAACAGTGTTGCCTGGTTTGGGGTAAAGTGAGAAGCTCATCCTTACATTGCAAGGAGTTAGATTTGACGGTGGGTTCTCTGAAGAGAGTTGCCTCTCGAGTTTATAGCACGTGGCCTGGGCCCTGGGTAGTAGTCCCCTGGGGCAGAGCACTGATGGGCAGTTAGATGTGGGGAGCAGGTCTGCAGGTTTTGAGGGTGCAGAGGATAGAGAATTGTGACAAGGATGCTGAGGTCCACAGAGCCCATGAGGATTTGAAAAACTAAAATTTGAGATACTGTAACCACAGTGTGGTTTTAGGGGAAAGGAAAGGAGTCAGAGAGTTAAGGACAGAGGGATGGTGACAGTGAAGAGTCCCCTTCCCCTGCCATCCTGACCCCATCTACATTTGAGGGCTGTGGCCAGGCATGAGCTGGATGCCAAGCCGTCGTGGAAACAGCTTTGTCAAGAATTTTGACAGTAAGAGGAAGAAACGAGAGGGGCAGGGTTGTCTTTAGGAGGGGAAAATATCCAACCATTTTAAAGATCCGAGTGTGCAAAAAGGCAAAGTGGGGATGGAGGAGGAAGAGCACAGGGTGAGCTGGGAAGGTGGCCTTTCTCAGGGGCGGGCACTAAAGATGGTGAACTCCAAACAGGAGAACAACATGAAGTACTGGGAGAAGAACCAGTCCATCGCCATCGAGCTCTCTGACCTGGTTGTCTACTGCAAACCAACCAGCAAAACCAAGGACAACTTAGGTAACATCTTTCCCAGGAGTCTGCCCTCTAATTGCAATGAAAACTGTTACTTCCTTTCGAGTCTGGAATTTTCAGAGAGGGGATAGTGAGTGCATTCCCCCGTTCTTAAATGCTTCAGGTAGATGACCTCATCTTGGGTTTGTCCTCTGGGTGAGGGAGCTGGTAGAAGCAGCCCTTTTGGTGTCTCTGTAGGAAAACCCAATGTATTAGTCCGTTTTCACACTGCTGATAAAGACATACCTGAGATGGGGTAATTCATAAGGAAAAAGAGGTTTAATGGATAGTTCCACGTGGCTGGGGTGGCCTCACAATTATGGTGGAAGGTGAAAGGCCCATTTTATGTGGCAGCAGATGAGAGAGAATGAGAACCAAGTGAAAGGGGAAACCTCCTACAAAGCCATAAGATCTTGTGAGACTTATTCACTACCACAAGAACAGTACAAGGGAAGCCACCCCCATGATTCAATTACCTCCTACCAGGTCCCTCCCATAACGTGGGAATTATGGGAGCTACGATTCAAGGTGAGATTTGGGTGGGGACACAGCCAAACCATATCACCCACTTAGTGGGTGGCTTAGTTCTTGTTGCCATTACCAGAAACTCGGTGGCTGAAAACAACATAGATTTATTCTTGCGTGTCCTGGAGGCCAGAATCTGAAATCGGTATCATGGGGTCCACATCAAGGTGTCAGCAGGGCTGTGCTCCCTCCAGAGGGGAAAGCCATTCCTTGCTTCTCCCAGTTTCTGGGGGCTGCTGGCATTCCTGGCTTGTGATCACATGGCCTTCTCTTCTGCTTTGCTGTTATAAGGACCCTTGTGATGCTTTAGGTCCACCTAGATATTCCAGGATAAGCTTCTCATTTCAAGCTCCCCTGCAAAATCAGGTCTGCCATATAAAGTAACACATGCCCAGGCTCCAGCAATTAGGGCCTGGACATCTTTAGGGGTTATTACTTAGCCCACCCACAGATATGGTTAAAAAAAAAAAAGATTTTCTACCAAATTCTCCAGATAGCAAGCTTTTTGATGATGCTGTGCATATTTTACTTTTCTCTTTGGGTGTCTGAGCTGCTTCTATATCTTTCATCTTAAAACAGAAGACCAGCAAGACTATATTAGACCCCAGAGTTAACTTACTGGGGGGCTGGTCCGTAGGAACCTCTACATTAGGGGACAGATGGCACAGCTCAGGACTCAGCAGGCTCAGCATGTTGACTGCCTGGCTGTCCCACCACAGCTGGATGGGAGGCAGCCAAGATGAGGGCTGCCTGTCCCCTTCCCTCTCCTCCCATTCTCTCTACCTTCCCTGCACAGGAATCCCCCCATATTGCAACCCTACCTGGGGGCAGTGGCAGGTGATTCTCAGTTTGTTCATGTTGTGTCTGTGGTATGTTTGATGAGGAATCCAGGTCTCTCTGCATCTTCCACTCCAAAGATCTTCTCTTTCCTAAAACCATTCCCATTGTTCTTCTTCTATAACTGTACCATTTTTGTGTTTTCTTGTTCAAGGATGTTGATAAAGTAAATTACAATACTTCTAGATTCAAAGGTGGTGGGAAAACTAGGCCCCCTTTGAATACTTGAAACTCCCAGAGGGCAAGAGTCCGTAGTGATATCCTTTACGACAATATCATCAGACTCTCTTGAATGTCTTGTTAATGAGAGAGCTTCCTGGTTTCCTTTTATAATCTGAGCATCCAGCTACTGCAGCAAAATTTAAGAAAACGCACAGATGAGACACAGAGTAAGTGATGACCTTTTTCTCTGTGTGCAGAAAATCCTGACTTTAGAGAAATCCGCTCCTTTGTGGAGACAAAGGCTGACAGCATCATCAGACAGAAGCCCGTCGACCTCCTCAAGTACAATCAAAAGGGCCTGACCCGCATCTACCCAAAGGGACAAAGAGTTGACTCTTCCAATTATGACCCCTTCCGCCTGTGGCTCTGCGGTTCTCAGATGGTGGCACTCAATTTCCAGACAGCAGGTAAAGATGGACTAAAGGTAGTCCTGTCCCTACAAGGTGGCAGTGGCAGTCACTCCAGGCCAAGTCAGCTTGGGTCAGCAGTACAAGGTGGTGTCCAGGAATGAGTGATTTGTCTAAGGGACCACAGTTCAGCAGAGTGCTGGTTACTATGAGGTCCAGCAGCTGAATGGAGGGATGAGAGGACCGACAGGTGCTTGGCTCAGGCAGGCTTGGTGACTGCAAGTGACAGAGGCTGAGGTAGTCTAGCTTAGGAGAAAAAGAAAATGCACGAGCTCATGTAGCTAAAGCATCTTTGGAGCTCTCTCCCCCGGGCCTGTCGCCCTGTGAGGGTTTTGGGCTCAGACATTCACATGCCGGCATCTCCAGCATACACAAACTTCTGGACACAACGTGGTTCCATAAATCACAGGGCTTTGTGCTTTTGTTATTGTTATTTAAAACCTCTTTTGGGGGATCTATTCATCAGTAGCCTCCTTTACATTCCTTTTATAGCCGCATCGGATTCCATTGCATGGAACCATCATTTATTTAACAAGTCCCCGTGGAGGCACATGTAGGTATTCCCCATTATTCGCTGTCGCAGACAGAACAGCACTGCTTTCTGTACCGCTACGTGAGTGGCATTCCACAGATGCAGGAGTACGTCTGTAGGACAGATTCTCCGAAGGGCAGGGGGAGTCGGACAGCACTTGCATTTGGATAAACTTTGCCCTGCTGAAAACCACTGCAGACCTCCCTGCAGGTGTGCCCCAGCTAAGCCACGTTGCCAAACTGCCCTCCATAGAGATCACAGGCGAGAATGTAAATAGTTGGGGGTTAGGGTACACTCTTTGGGTATAACTTCATAGAGTTTTGTTGAACTTTTCGCCATTGGCACAACTGAGTGGTGAAAACTGATAAACCGTCCATTAGAGCTGCTGCTTGTAAGCGACGTCGACCACTTTTCTCCTTATTTACGGAGCAACTGCGTTTTCTTTTCTGCAAACTATTTTTCCTTCTTACTCGATGTATCTAATGCAGCTGGTATTCATAGCGTAGTTCTGATACACCTAAGAGGTTAAAAATTTATGTTTAAAATAAGCTCGTGATTTATTTCTATATAGACACTTTTAGCTTTTAGTAAGTTTGAACCTTTTATGATTCAGGATTTTCTGACACACTTAGAAAGGTGTTGCCCAGTCTGAGATTTGTTGTCTAGAAACCCTGTATGTTCTTTGAGTGAGACACCTATTTGAACAGCTGCCTCTAAATAATTTTGGGAAAAGGAGTAATTCATTTCCCACCTAGCAACTCCTGGCCTAGGAGGCCAGCGATCCGGTGCCTGACTTAAAGCAGAGTTCACTTTCCTTCCCAGATAAGTACATGCAGATGAATCACGCGTTGTTTTCTCTCAATGGGCGCACGGGCTACGTTCTGCAGCCTGAGAGCATGAGGACAGAGAAATATGACCCAATGCCACCCGAGTCCCAGAGGAAGATCCTGATGACGCTGACTGTCAAGGTAAAGCCAGCCCTTCTTCCTGCCAGGGGAGCCAGCTGCCCTCCCTGGGGGCTGAGCCAACACTACCTTGAGAGCAGGGAACCCATGGCTAGGGATGCTTCTTGTCTTATTGACACTAACATTCAGGCCATGTTTGAGGATCTTTCTTTCTTACACTCCAGGGTCCTTTTGGGAGAAGAGGGAGGGGAAACCTCTTCGAACCCATCTTGGTCACTTCCCCTTGTCAGCTGTGGGGGTGACATAACCCATCTTTCTGGGGTCGCAGTGAGGTCAGCCTCTGGCCAGAAAGAGAAAGAAAACATGGGAAATGGCCATTTGGTCTTATGGAGAAGTTTTTTTTTTTTTTTCCTCCTTTGTCCAATTCCAGGGTTTTAAAAAATTCATCTGACTTTCAGAGAAAGTGTTACTTTGTAAGAATTTTTAGAAAGTAGAGAAATTAACTGCATTTCTCATGAGATTAAGGGCGGGACCAGGGGCAGGAAGCATATATCACCAAAGGCCTTTAAAAAGCAGTTACAAAAAGAATGCCACGCTGTCCCCCAACCTTTCCTAGGGGTGGGGAAGTCCAGTGATGAAGCTGTGCCTTGATCAAAGGCATCTACTTGGGCATGGATATGTGTGCATTCTTGAGCGCAGGTGAGTTTTACCTGTTAATTCAGGTGGCATGGGGGCCAACACCCAGGCTGATGCTGAGGAGCTGTGGATCTACCATAACCCACCTTCATGCATTGCAGAAGGTTGCTATGGCTTCTCCAGTGAATTTGGGAAAATCAGGGCTGGCATCGAACGCACACAGTGTCACTCTAGAACCCAGTCACAACTCCATGCGAGGCTGCCTGTTCAGGACGTGGCCAGCTCTTGCCAGCAGGTACCGGGGGTTCCAACGCTTATTACCTTCTGTGTCTCAGGTTCTCGGTGCTCGCCATCTCCCCAAACCTGGACGAAGTATTGCCTGTCCCTTTGTAGAAGTGGAGATCTGTGGAGCTGAGTATGACAACAACAAGTTCAAAACAACGGTTGTGAGTAAGTTGCCTTGGCCCCTCTGCTTTTACATGTCCAGCCAGTGAACCCTTTGTGGCGATGCTCTTCGTGAGGGATTTTGCAATGCACTTCTGCTGTCCCAGGAAATTCTTTCCTATCGCCCACGTGGCTCAGCTTGAGGAGGGGATACAAACGGCCACTTTGTTAAATCCTTAGACTTTCCCCAGTGCTGCTTGCCTGCCTGTCACTCAAGTCTGGAATCCTAGGTGAGACCCTCGCCCACTGTGCCCTGACACTAGATAGGTCCTCTCTGTGAAATAGCCCAGTCTGATTTATCTTCAGAGTCAAAGGCCAAGAGGCAGAGACACAGAGAGAGAAGGTGAATCTGCATGGCTGACCTGGGCCAGAACATTAGCCTAACCTGGGGGATCTTAGCCCCTAGAAGGCAGGAGGGAAAAGAGGAAGGCTTGCTCTTCCAGGAAAAGCTGGGAAGGAACCGTGAATCATGGGCCTTCTAAGGCACAGGATCCTTGCCCCTGGTCAAAAGTAGCCCAGTGAATAACTCAGATGCTGATCAAGTAAAGGGGCATGTATGAAGAGTGGCAGGATTGCTTCTTGGCTGCTCTGTGAGGCTGGGCTCTCCCCTGCCAGCTGTAGGACCCCCTGCTGGTAGACGTGGCTCCCGGGCTCTCTTCTCCCCTTTTATCTTTTCCAAAATCCACCTTCCGGCTCTGCAAACACCTCCCCCTTCCTTTCATTCCCGATCCTGGAGGAGGGGAGATGGGAGGTGATCTCCTTCCTCTGCTCACCAAGAGACCAGTCTGCAACAGCAGCTTCCAGGATTGCACCAGGTGGGGTTGGGGAGTGAAGATAATTATTCAGTTTTTCTTAGATCTTGGCATGGATGTGTGTTTGTTTACATGGTTGCCAAGGGGATTCATGGCTGAAGGACACAGAGATTGTTTTACCAGGAAAGGGTAGCTCAGTGTGGCCTCTAATGAGCTTTTACCTCCTTCCAGATGATAATGGCCTCAGCCCTATCTGGGCTCCAACACAGGAGAAGGTGACATTTGAAATTTATGACCCAAACCTGGCATTTCTGCGCTTCGTGGTTTACGAAGAAGATATGTTCAGTGATCCCAACTTTCTTGCTCATGCCACTTACCCCATTAAAGCAATCAAATCAGGTAAGAGGCACTTTAATTAGGATGTTGAGTTTGGGCTGGTATCGTACTTGGGTTTGGCTGCTGTCTTCAGAAGAATGCAAAGTCATTTTTCCTGGTTTGGATGGAATCACTGCAAAAGCATTTGGGTAGCTTGGAGAGCTGGTGCATGTAGAGCCTGGTAGGGGGGAGGCTATGCCCCCCGACGTGCAATGTCTACATGCAAAATTGGATTGTTGGTGGATTGCCAACCTGGCACTGTAGTTTGATTTCATTTTGAAATGTTACACGCGGTTTGCTGCTTCCTAGCCAGGGCTAGGTCTGGTTTGAGCTCCCTCTCGCTCTCTGGCTGGCAGTGTGAGAGGGTGGCAAGGGAGAGGCCTTTGGCATCTGCAGGGAGTTGCAGTCTTGAGAGACCAACTCCCCAAATCCTTCAGAATTCACCTTCCTCTTCTATAAAATTGAGAGGGTTAATTTACTTCTTTGAATTGTCAGAGTTTTCTTCCATGCTGAACGAAACACAGAACCCCTTCATGGTATGAAAAGGGTCATTTTGTATTTTTCGGCAAACAAGCCAAGCTGGGTCATAGGACCAGCTCTTAAGAATCCCGTCGAATCCTGGATGACAGAGCCCCTCGTGCACAGCTGAGATAGACAAATAGACACCTCCAGGTGATGCAATTTGGGACCCAGCTGCTTCTAGAGCCAGTCATTTACCAAAACAAACAAACTGGCTCTCCTGCGCTTGTATATAGTTTCTCTAGTTTACTTTCCCACTGGATTTTAGGTGTAGTGTTTGACGAACAGGCCCTTGCTGGATGTTGAATTTCCCTTCTTCCCCTTCCTTTAGTATTTCTGATGCACGGTGCATGAGATCATAGATTCATTCTTCTGGATTCCTCAGGAGGTCACTGTTCCCTTGTTTTCTAAGGTAGAAAGATGACTGTCATTTTAGTTACTTACATAAAAATACAGTCTTTTGATGTTGTTTGGAAACCTGGGGCTCAATGCAGAGCTGAACTGGATCTTTTTCATTTTTCTAACTTGGAATATGTCAGACATCATAAACCTGTCTGTTTCTGCTACTGGGCAGGAGCCCAATTTCTGAGCAGCAGGCATGCTAGGAAATGCAGGTGCTGGCCGGGCACCACGGCTCAGGCCCATAATCCCAGGTATTTGGGAGGTTGCACCACTGCACTCCAGCCTGGGTGACAGAGTGAGACTCTCAACAGAAGAAAATGCAGCTTCCTGGACCCTCCACGGTGAGCTGAGTCAGCCCAGGGTAGTGCCCAGGAATCTGCATATCTAGCCGGCTCCTCAGATGGCCTTGGGATGGCACTTTCAGAAAACCAAGCTCTGTCAAGACTGCCTGTCTTGCCATTGAGGAAATGAATTCCTCAGAGAGTAATCAATGAAACAAGAATTTGAAAAAATGTTTAAAGCTTCTGAATTTTTTTTTTTTTTTTTTTTTTTGAGAGGGAGTTTCGCTCTTGTTACCCAGGCTGGAGTGCAATGGCGCAATCTCGGCTCACCGCAACCTCCACCCCCTGGGTTCAGGCAATTCTCCTGCCTCAGCCTCCTGAGTAGCTGGGATTACAGGCACGCATCACCGTGCCCAGCTAATTTTTAGTAGCGATGGGGTTTCACCATGTTGACCAGGATGGTCTCGATCTGTTGACCTGGTGATCCACCCGCCTCGGCCTCCCAAAGTGCTGGGATTACAGGCTTGAGCCACCGCGCCCGGCCTGAATTTTTTTTAAGCACTCTAGAAATGCTCATTTTCAGGAACATTGCTACTCTAGCAATAGTGAGTATTCATTTGTAAGAGGCCTAATACTTGGCAACACTTCTTGGTTAACTCACTCACCTTGTAAACTACCTTTTTTTTTGAGACAGAGTCTCGCTCTGTTACCCAACCTGGAGTGCAGTGGTGTGTTCTTGGTTCACTGCAACCTGTGCCTCCCTGGCTCAAGCAATTCTCCTGCCTCAGCTTCCTGAGGAGCTGGGACTACAGGTGCACACTACTACTTCTGGCTAATTTTTGTATTTTTAGTAGAGATGGAGTTTCGTCATGTTGATCGGGCTGGTCTGGAACTCCTGGCCTCAAGTGATCCACGTGCCTGGGTCTCCCAAAATGCAGGGATTACAGGCATGAGCCACTGTGCCTGACCTATAAACTAGCTTAACCCCAGCAATGAGGCTGTGATTAATTTGCTTCTTTTATAAGGCTTAGGAAGGACACCGTTTCTTCTGGTGCAGGAAGTGTAGCTTTTGGTTCACCTTTATGTTCCTGGCCTTGATGCTGTATCAGATTTTTTTTGTGGCAACTACTTGCCAGTTGCTCTGCTGGATAAGTCCAGCAGAGAAGGGCAAGTGTGCTGAAACCCCCTGGTTACCTTGATGTCCTCTTGAAGGATGAGGGCTGTGCTCATAACCCTTCCCAATGCCCTGCAGAGATGTCAGCGCTGATAAAACCTCCTTACCTTACTGCATATCAAAGCGTGTCAATTCTGCAGAATGCAGTGAGGTAGCTTGGAGATTTAGAAAAAACAAAGGTGAGAACCTCAAGGGAGATTAAAAGTGTGACCCCATCCTCCCCTGACTGTGAGATACTCTTCGCAGGGACCTCTCCTCACTCCTTTCTACTTCCTAGCAGTGCCTGGCACATCCATATTCATGGGAGGAAGGAAACAAAATGAACAGGAGGCATTGAGGGTCTCCCAGACTCAAAAAAACAACTTCACCCATTGTCATTAGGGATGCACTTAAGCTTTTAAACCAGCTGGAGTGCAGGGAGGAAAGCAGCAGCCTGTATTGTGTAGGTACCTTAAACTCTTCCTCTTTTAATCCTGTGAAAGGGGTTTTATCTCTGCTTTTAAAAATCTGAGCACTTTGAGGCCTAGAGACTCAATTAACTTGCTCAAGGTCACACACCTGTAGGAACGGAGCTGGGATTCAAACCCAGGAACGTCTGATTTCAAACCCCTTATTCCTCCTCTGCAGGCTGCCCTCTCCTGGATGCTCGAAGCCTGTATCATTGATCTTATTTTAAAAGGTGTCTTTATTTCCCTTTCCCCTGTGAAATGACCAGGAACAACAGGAAGGAAAACAATTCTGTTTTGGGTGAAATTGGAAATACGTTTCAGCACAGACTCCAGTATACATACAGGGCTGCCTAGTGCATAAAAATGGAACTTGGGCAGTGAGATGAGGTACAAGGAGCTGGAGAGAGCTCGCCACGGGGGCAGAGCTCATGTCTCGTAATTAAGAGGCACATGCTTAGTGTCAGATAGCACTGTCTTGCCTGGAACCATGCTATCAGACCGTACAGGCTACCTGATAGCCTCCCGGAACACCATGGAGCAAACAGACATACCAGTTCTTTCTAACAGTTAATCAGCACCTAGACCATATCAGTCTGTTCTCACACTGCTATAAAGACATACCTGAGACTGGGCAATTTATAAAGAAAAGAGGTTCAATTGGCTCACAGTTCTGCAGGCCATACAGGGTTCTGTTTCTGGGGAGGCCTCAGGAAATTTACAATCATGGCAGAAGGGGAAACAAGCACGTTACATGGCCAGCAGGGGGAGATAGTGCACACCTTTAAACAACTGGATCTTGTGAAAACTCACTATCATGAGAACGGCAAGTGGGAAGTTCACCCCTATGATCCAGTCACCTCCCACCAGGTCTCACCTCCAACATGAGATTTGGGTGGGGACACAGAGCCAAACCATATCACAGACTTACTTCTTCCCCGCTGCCCATAGATCCACTCATTAGGGATGCAGAATCTCAGGCCTTGCCCCAGACTTCGCAAGTTAGAATCTGCATTTTAACAGGATTGACAGGTGATTCACATCTGCATTAGTGTTGGCACATCACTGGGCTAGACTGCAACAATTCTGTGAGTCTCTCTGTCAAGGCAAAAAACTAGCAACAAAAATCACGATAGTGGTAGGGAAAAAATAGGTCAGAAAACTTCTTTACAGCAGTATATTCAGTGAGAGCAATGTCCCCAAAACCCTGCTGGGAAAACATTCAGGTTTTATACCCACTCAAACTGTCACTCAACTATACAATCAAAGGATGGATGCACTGAAACATGCACAGCTCGGGAATTCTGTTTCCCATGGGCTCATTCTGAAGAGAAGAAAAGAGGACAAATTTGGCTAAAGAAGACATCCAGACAGAAGTTCAGTAAGAAGCTGATGAGCATCCAGCCATTAAAAAATATAAAGTTTTATACATAATGAAATGTATAGATTTGTATCAGACGAGGAACACTATAAACTAATACTGAGCTCTGGCTGGTGAGATGCATGCTTAGGAAGGTTTATTGATGTCTTTGTCTTACTGTGAATTGCACACACAAATAAGATGGATTGATGGGTGCATAAATATGTGACAAAGCAAGTACAGGTGGCCCTCTGGATCTGTGGACCCAGCCAACCAAGCTTTGGTTGAAAGTATTTTTGAAAAAATTATGTATCGAACATATACAGACTTTTTCTTATCCTTGGACAGTATAACAGTTATTTACACAGTACTTATATTGTCTTGGGCATTAAAGTAATCTAGAGATAATTTAAAGTATACGGGAGGACATGAATAGGTATATGCAAATACGACACCATTTAGTGATTTAGAGACAGGGTCTTCCTCTGTCACCAAGGCTGAAGTTCAGTGGTATAATCACAGCTCATGGCAGCCTTAGACCCCTGGGCTCAAGCAATCCTCCTGTCTCAGTCTCCTGAGTAGCTGGGACTATAGGTGTGCATTCCTGTGCGTGGCTAAATTTTTTATTTTTTGTAGAGATGAGGTTTTGCTACGGTACCTAGGCTAGTCTTGAACTCCTGACTTCAAGTGATCCTCCGCAAGTGCTAGGATTACAGGCATGAGCCACCTTGGTATCTGGGGAAGTCCTGAACGAGTCCCCCACAGATATCAAGGGACAACTGCAGCGTAAAAGTTTCATCGCAGAATTTAGGTGGTGGGCATACAAGCGTTCCTTATAATATTTTTTTGGCATTGCTGTGTGTTTAAGAATTTTATACTAAAATGCCAGAAAAACATAAGCCTCCCTTTGTGGGAGAATTATAGTTACAACATGGAATACAAATATTACACACTATGTCCATGCAAAAATGAAAACACACCTTCGGGGTGTAAAAGGAGAAGAGGCGCAGGTTTGTGTAAGTATTCAACTTTCCTCTTGATAAGCAGCGAGAAGTGAGAAATGGAATGGATAGTGTTTGAAGGTGATAAATCAACTGAGAGTATAAAATGTTCCAAGAGAAATAAGCCCCAAATCTGAATGGTGGAAGGCACAGAGGAAACAGTGGGAGTGTCCTATTTTGGGCATTGCTGGTCTCGGAGAATCAGTAGTTACGAGAGAAACGCTTTCAAGACAAACTAGGACCACAGAAGGGATCTCTAAGATACAATGCTAACTGGTAAGGCATTTGTGATTTAAAAGCCACTCAAATGTATGCATAAGCAACCTTGGGAACGATACTTTTAGCAATGGTTTCTTTTAGGACAGAGAGGAGGATTGGGTGGGAGTGACAGCTGTTTTAGCCCTGTGGTCTTTTATAGTACTTAATTAAAACAAGCCAGCAAACCAACCTTTGAGATGTGTTGCTTTAAACAAGACTGAATGGGGGTGGAAAGATTCAGCTCCAACTCACCCCTGCTTCAGCCCGAAATGAAAAGAAACATTTAAATGACTGTCAAACACAGGTCCTAATTGTAAACAGGGAATGGCTTTCAGAGGAAGATGATCAATACTGCTATGGACTGCTAAGGGACAGAAAGATTTCCTCCCATTGGAAATCTTTAAAGATAAAACACAGTCTCTGATCCTGTGCTTTGTAAGGGTCTAAGTGGAGGAAATGGATGAGGATTCACTACTCTTTTGAGTCTTTTGGTCTCAGGAGTATTTAAGGAATTGAACCACAGCTGCAATCACTGCACTCAATGTGGAATGTTCTGTGGGTTTTAATTTCTTCTGAGTGAATCATTTTTATTTCTAGATGGTAGATATTTTTAACCTTGCTTCCCTGTATAGACCCATCAGTCATGGCTGCCAGCCACTGTCCCTAACCATCAGGATGGGACCTCTGGCTTCCAAAAAGTCAGCCCCCGACATGGGGCACTGACTTCTCTACTCTTTGAACTAGGCCTTTGATCCCTGGGTATCCTCCAAAAAAATATAAGGTCTGACATTACTTACTTGCATTTTCCTCCCTGTTCTGCTTCAGGATTCAGGTCTGTTCCTCTGAAGAATGGGTACAGTGAGGACATCGAGCTGGCTTCCCTCCTGGTTTTCTGTGAAATGCGGCCAGTCCTGGTGAGTGGAGAAATGACAGTGAGGGTTCCCTGAGCTTTGTGCCTGCAGGTGATGGTAGAAATGGCCTATAAATACCATTGGCTGATATACTTAAGCCCATTGAGAATTATCTAGGCCAAGCTTGAGACATCATACAAGAATTCCTTTCTGCTAATTCCCCAGAGTTTCCTGGGTTTTCCCTCCCAGCATCCTCCTTTCTTGGAGAATGCTGTGTGAGTCTGCGTAGGCAGTGTAGCTGGAAAGGGTGCTGGTGCTCACAAGTTCCTCATGCTTTCACTTCAGCAAGAGCCAGGCCAGATGATGCCTTCCTAGATAAGACTTAGCCTTTATGGATGCTTTTTTGGTGCCAGTGGGTCTTTGGGAATCCTCTCAGAGAGTCTGAGAGCCTCCAAGGCAGGCAGGAAGGCATGTCTTGGCCTCTCCTGGGGGAGAAAATGCATAAACCACAACTTTTTTCTAGAGAAGACTGGAGGATACTTCCTTCCTGGTTTTTATGACTTTTACCAGGCTTGAGCCTCTTCTTTGATTAACCGGTTTGGTCTTGAGCTATATTTAAAAATGTGGCAAGGTTGCTCAGGACCAAGGGTTAAGATTGGAGCTCCATGCTGTGTGGAGTCAGGGCTTGGGTTTGGGTAGATGACTGGGTAGTGACTGATTCCGGGGCTTCAGAGTTTCCACGATGGCCCCTCTTATAGGCTCAGACCCACATATCAGGCCTGTGTTTTTGCAGCGCCTGACCCGTAGCCAGTACAATCTCCCAAGATCTTTTCATTCCCCTACTGCAGAACGCGTTCTGTGGTCATTCAGATTCTCTTTGGCTAACCTAAAAAAAAAACTGTGCTTCTGAACCCCAGTGGGTAGATGTGGGCGGGGTCAATGCCCCAGATAGCCATCTTGTTTCCTCATTTTGGTTGTTTTCCAGATAGAGAAATCAAGGTCTGTAATTTGGCTGTTAGAAGTAAATAGTGGTATCTGGACCTTTGAACATAGCAATAGTCCATGCACTAAAAATTCACCAACTTGACTCAGAGGAGGGAATATTAGGCTTTTCTGCATAGCTGTTTGCTTACGTTCAGCTTTTGCAACTTTGGTAGTTTTCCACTCCAGAGCATTTTTAGGAGCACTGAGATAAAAGAATATGCAAAAACAAGAGAAACCCAGGCGTGGTGGCTCATGCCTGTAATCCCAGCACTTTGGGAGGCTGAGGTGGGAGGATTGCTCTAGCCTGGGTGGCGAAGGCTGCAGTGAGCTGAGATTGTGCCACTGCACTCCAGCCTGGGTGACAGAGTGAGAGTCTGTCTCAAGGGAAAAAGGGAAGAGTGAGCAGTAAAAACAGGGAAAAAGAGACTTAAAAAGCACAGTAGTTGGGGACCAAAGAACCTGAGACAGTATTACTTTTTGATGACATAAAACAAACTTCACCAGCAGTTAAATGACTGTGGGAGTCTTCCACTAAGTAGACCGACCATAAATTAATCACTCCCCAAGCTGAGCATAAGGTGATCACTCACAGCTTCAGGTGAGTACCCTTCTCCTCCTTTATGCCAGAATTCTTTCCTTAGGATCAATACTCAGATATAGAATTAGCGGGATCAGTTAGTTTAGCTGAATGGTGAAGCTGTAAAACTTGGAGTTTAGCAGAAGCCTTCAACCAGTGAGCTTCAAGACCCTTTGCTTAGTGAAGCTTACCCTGCCCCAGCCCACTGAAAGATCTGGGATTTGGTGCCCTAGGCAAGGGAACGAGGGCTGCTTCTCTCTATACATAAAAAGCCCTCTGCAGACATTTCACAGAAAGGTCAAGTGATAAAAATGGTTTTAGGTGGTGGTAGGGCAGGATTTGCCTAGGCGCTGCTCGGCAAGGCTGTTGTAAACAACTGGAAACATAAATAATTTAAGTGATTAGTATCCCTAGCAGCAGAGAAAATTAGTATATTTAAAAGAAAATTGTGTTGATGCAGCTTTGACATCCTTGATGAGGGAAACTGCATGCCTGGACTGCTGTTGGGGCTGCCACTGCAGGGAGTCAGGGGCATCGTGTGGGGTTCTAAATGGAAAGTTGATGCTCACAAATCTTTCTAAAAGCTTTAGAGGAAGAGTTGCGTATGTGCAAACTTCAGTTCAGCTGCTGGCTCTCGAGATTTCACTGAATTCCACATGTGTCACCTGGTTCTGTGACACTCACAGGTGCAGCTTGGCATTTCTGCCCACATAGTGATGGGGAGTCTTCTTGGAAGCTGAGCTGAACTGCATCTGCAGACCTGGGCTTTCTCTTTAATGCCCATGGTCAGACCTTGTTTTGTTTATCACCATATCCTCTGGAAGCCAGGGAGAAACTCTGGTCAACAGCCTCAAGACAGACTTTTGTGACCAAATGATTCATCCAGTCAGGGCTGAAATGAAGTTTACTCATAAAACATTTGCTGAGGTTCAGTTTACAGCCTGAGAAAATTAAGCACTTACAAACCCCTCTGAAGAAGCCATTTACATGTCACAATTACCTTATCGAGTCTCAGTCCTTTACTTTGTAAGCAGTATGTTTAGCTTCTAAAGAGTATTTTTAGCAACATTTTATTACCTACTGTATTTGATGTAAGGAAAGAAAGGTGGGGGAGTTGAAAAGAATCCTCACCAACAGCCTGTATCTAACCATTGTTAGCATCTTGGCAGATTTCCTTTGCCTTATGGTTTTTTGTAGATGATATTTCTGTAGTTGGATTCATACGGGTGCCCTTTTCTTCTTCACAGATGACTTTACATGATTTTAAAGCCATTGATGCCTGTTTCATCAGGTGTGGGTCCTAATTCACTGAGTCATTCGTCGTGGGCAATTTTTACTTTATAAATAATATAGGTCTTCATGTCACATTTTCTGATTAAAAATTATTTCCCAAGGCTAGATATTTAGCAATGGAATAATAAATCAAAGAGAAAAGGACCATGTACTTTTACATGCATGTCAAATTGTTCTCTGAAAGTAAATAGTTTCTCTTAAGTTGATGTATTATACCCAATCTTGCCATTAACTGGAATGGGCCTCCACTGGAATGATTTAACATGGTGAGATCCAGAAGAATGGGACTGGAGAAATTAGGGAAGCTTAAATATTCATCATCTTCCATGGGCAAACTGGCAATTTCTGGAGGGCATATTTGAGATAACTGGCTGCTCTAGGACCTGTTGAGTGCTGACCCTGGGTGGACTGGGTTCTGTTTTGTGCTGGGTAGGAGCTAATGTGCAAGGGATTGAAAGGCCCCCTTTAGAGTGGAAAAAAAAAAACCCCAACAAACTCAGGATGCTGACAACTAGACGAAGGCTTATCCCAGAGCAGATGCATGAATCCCTTTGTAGAAGAATGCACATTTTAAAATCCTGGAGAGCTAGGACTGGGAGCTGCACTCTGGCACTGAGCTGGTCCTGGATTTTGGGGATAGGAAAGATTTCCTTACACTTGGGGAGACCTGCAGGGACACAAAGGCCCTCCTTATGCCTCATCAGCTAAAGTTGTGGTCAGTTTGCCCAATGCTGGCTCCAAAGAGCAGAAACTGCTGTGTTGATCAACCATCACCCAACAGTTTGACATGACTACTGAACAGACCCAACCAACCACGAGCATGCAATGGGAAAAGAGGAAGACACACCGAGGTACACATCTGCTACAGGTGGCTAGTCGAAACTGAGCCATTGGAAGCCTCAGATGAGAACCATAACACATAACTCATAGGACCTTTCAAAGGCATCCAAGTAGAGCACTGGAAAACACTTTCTGGAATTGAAACACAAGACCTGATTGTTGAATTAAAAATTTGGCATATAAAGAGATCTGCATTAGTGACCTGAAAGATGATGTGAAGGAAATGTCTCACAATCTAGAGATACCTGACATTGGGATGGAAAGAAAGGAAAAGCTGGGCTGGGAGGACAGATGCCAAGAACCTAACATGAAAGCAGGTCCCAAAGGACCAAGTGTAAAAGACAGTGGAGAGCTATTAGAGAAACAGCTAATACAGGAAGCTTTTCTCTGAGCTGCTGTGTGTGAGGGCCCACTTAGTTGCAGGTGGGATGAATAGGAAACACATCTATACCCTCAGTTATATTTTAGTAAAATTTTAAATTCCGAGGGTAAATTTGAAAACCTAGACTTCCAACACAAGTTGTGTATAAAGAGAACTGAGTAAGTCTAACATCAGAGTTGTCCTCTTTGGTGCTGAGAACCAGAAGGCTCCCAAAACAGGTAGAATGTGGACTAGGAAGAAAGAACTCAGTGTCTAGCCCCTGACATGTCAAGGAGTTTCAGGACATGCAAGATTTTAGATATATCATGTATCCTACTCAAGAGAAATCTTGAGGCAGTCCCTGCATCCATGATATTTTAGTCAGAAGAGAAACTTTTAGATAGGGAGATGAAGAGAGGAAAAGTAGTGAATAATTAATTGTGCAGTACAATTACATCTTACAGGATGACGGTGTGGTTACAATTCTGTCATGGTAAACATCAAATGAGGATTCTCGAATGGGAAGAAATATACCATAATAAAAATGCCAATCAAAAATATAATCACATATCAACAAAGCATAGGCACGGAAAAGTAAGATAGAGGTATCCTAAAGGAGATTTCAACTTTGATGACTGGGCAGTCAGTCAGCAAATAAAGTATACTGCAGAGGGAGAGCTAATGCTAACATTCTGAATGTTAAAGGGATCTGCAATTTTAATTAGGATTGTTAAACTGAGGGTAACCACCGTAAGAACTGAAAAGCAGAGAAATAAAGAGGACAAAAGGAGACCAACATAAATTCAACCAAGAGAGTAAAAAGTGGGGATCGCTGGGAAGACGGCTGAATAGGAACAGCTCTGGTGCACAGCTCCCAGTGAGACTGACACAGAAGGCGGGTGATCTCAGCCTTTCCAACTGA